AGGTGATTATAATAGCATCATATTCTAGACAAGTGGGTTATTCATTCCTTCTTGCAGTTGTTCAATGATATTTTGCTACTTGTTTAATTCAACATTGAGAGTCTTTTCCTTTTATTGAGTTATGGTCTATTTTATTTAATATTTTCATTTGTTGGATTTTCAGTCTAGCTCTTTTATTAGGTCTTTACAGAAGATATAAAACTAGAAAAATTACAAGGAGTGCCTACTGTGTGCAAACAAAACATTCCCAGTCCAAATATGACTCTGACATGAAATCATAAACATTTGCAAAGATAATTTGTAACTGGCACCTCTGCTTCTTGCATAGCATTCAAGTAGGGCCTCCTTGGTCTTTTCAAAACTGGACTCTGCCAGCTGCAGTGCACTGATTTTAATTTAGAAGAAAAGCTGCTACTTGTTTGGAAATCACTGTTTTTTTGTTTGTTTGTTTTTGCTTTTAAAAAAAATACCCCCAGAGAAAAAAGTTGAGACCTAATCAGAACAGCTCCAATAAAAGATTTTCTACTACATTTGACCAAGAACTGTAACTCTGAGAATAACTGAATTTGGGTAGCCTGGACACATCGAACCCTAGAACTTTTTTTTTACATTGACGCAATATATATATAACATAAAATTTGCCATTTTAACAATTTTTAGGTATACAAGTCAGTGGCATTAAGTACAACCATGACCACTAATTATTTTCAAAATTTATCCTTCCATTAAGAAACTCTGTGCCTAATACTTTTGTAATTATCTGGTTATTTAACAGGATAGGAGTAAAGGAGGACTAGATAATATAGGCATGCCATTTATACAGCTTTGCTAATTTAACACTCTCCAAGTCTGTTCCTGCTGATTGACAGGGAAGGGACTGGACAAAGGCAGTTTGGACGTATGCCCAGTAAGGTCTGAGTGATGTGAGAAGGTGTCTACCTGTCTGTCAGTCACACCTTGAAGCTAGAATAGGCATGGCCACTGCAAGGGCGCAAAACCTGAACATGTAAACTTCTGAACAAAGGAAGTACCCTCTCTCTCACACACAGGGCTCTTGGCTCTTGCCTCTCCTGCTTGCCTGTGCCCTGTGACTCCTGCTGCAGGGGGCACGCTCCCTGCACTCTTCCATGTTGCTCATGGCCGGGGGGACCCACACAGTGGACTGATAGACTGAATTTGGACTGAGGCTGAATTGGACCCGGCTGCAACATGAAAGAAAGCGCTGAACATGGGCTCTCCTTTTGGCTCTGCTGGACTCCCAGCTGTACCTTTTTCAGGACTGGGTTAAGGGACATAGGACTTTATAACGCAAGGAATAAAACTCCACACAAATAAAGCCTTTTATCACATCTCAGTCTTCCATGGGGGCTTCTGAAAATGCTTATTTCAGTGGTACCCCAAGAAACACACTTCTACTCGTGTCTGAGAAATCAGGCCCATTAATTCCTCCAGCAGCAAAACCATTAAGCAAAACTCATATTCCACCCTCCTCAATCCCTAGTAGCACTAATTTACTTTCTCTTCCCAAGAATTTGCCGTTTCTAGATATTTTATATAAGTGGAATCATAGAATATTTGTCCTTTGTATTTGGCTTACTTCTATTTAAAATAATGTTTTCCAGGTTCATCCAGGTTGTAGCATAAATCAGGACTTCACTCTTCTTTATGGCCGAATAATACAGTGTGACAAAAGTAGGTTTACAGTTGTTCATATGGAAAACAATGCAATAATTAATACCTAATAATATGAGAATAAACTCTGTTTTGCATATTCAACTATAAACCTATTATTGATCCAGACTGTATATTGTATATATATGCCACATTTTGTTTATTCATTCAACTATTGATAGACACTTGTATTGTTTCCACCCTTTGACTACTATTAATAATGTATGAACAATGGCATACAAGTATCTGTTTGAGCTCTTGTTTTCCATTTTTTTGGGTATTTACCTACAAGTGAAATTGCCGGCATAGATAATTCTACGTTTGTATTTTGAAGGAATTGCCAAACTGTTAAACTATTTCTACAGAAGTTGCATCATTTTACATTTCCCCAGCCATGCATAGGGAATGGGGGAGGTTCTAATTTCTCCACATCCTTACCAATACTTGGGTGTGAAGTAGTACCTTACTGTGGTTTTGGTTTGCATTTCCCTAATGTTAGGTATATTTTCATGTGCTTGTTGGTCATTTATGTATCATCTTCAAAGAAATGTCTAAAATGTCTAAATATATGCCCATTTAAAATTTGTTGTCTTTCTGTTGTTGAGTTGTAGGAGTTGTAAATAGATATATAACTGATCTTTGTGTGTTGATGTCATATTCTGATATCAGATATATGATTTACAAATATTCTCTCCCATTTTGTGGGTGACAAGGATTGCTGGCTACCACCAGAGGATGGGAACAGCCTATGAGAGATTCCACCCAGAGTCGCAGAGGGAGCATGGTTCTACTGACATCTTGATTTCAGACTTGTAGCCTACAGAACTATGAGAGAATAAATTTCTGTTGTTTTAAGCTACCCAGTTGGTGTTACCTTTTACCATAGTCCTGAGAAATGAACACATGTTCCAACTTTGATATCTTTTATTTCTTTTTCTTACCTAATTGCTCTGGCTAGGATTAACAGCAATCCTTTCAAACTCTTGCAACACACTTAAGAGGTGGAATGACTTCCTCATGCTATGAGGCCAGCATAATACTTATTATTATACCAAAGCCAGACGCAGACCCAACAAGGCTTCAGATAAGTACCCCCAGTATATACTGATGCAAAAATCCTCAACAATATACTAGCAATCTAAATTTAAGAGCATAATAAAAGGATTATATACCACAACTAAGTGGGATTTATGCTAGGAATGCAAGGATAGTTAAACATATGAAAATCAATCAATATAGTATACCACATTCATAGAAAGAAGAGGAAAACTCACAATCATCTCAGTTGATGCAGAAAAGGCATTTGAAAAAATTCAACACCACTTCTTGATCAAAATATTCAATAAACCAACACGAGGAAAAAAATTTCTACAAAATGATTATAGCTACATATGAAAAAGTCCAACTAACAATACTCAATGGTGAAAAGCTGAAAGCTTTTCCCCTAAGGTCAGGAAGAAGACAAGAAGGCCTGCTTTTGCAACTTTTACTCAACAGAGTACAGTTCCTACTTGCTAATCTTCCACAGAGGAACAGGATAGATCTGCCTATTCTGCCATTTTGCTGGTGTTACTCCCAAACGCTAGAACTTTTATACTATCATCATCTGTAAAACTGTACTTAAAATTCAGATATATGCAAATAATAGCACTGGAAAATAAAATTAATCATTAGCTAACAAATCACATCACAATAATTTAGATACCATGGCTTTAGTTCTAAATTAAAAGATGTTTTCATTTACTTAAAATTGCACATTAATCATTAGTTATACTGTGTTTCTCTCAGTATGTTTAGATTGTTCCCTGTCAGACTCTAGATATATAAAAGAGAGGTGAGAGATTCATGATTTTTTACTAATCATCAATGAAACTTGAAGGATGACTTTCATTTAGTGTCAAAATTCAATATTACCATTAGCCTTGTATTTGTGAGACAAAAATGGCCTATGTCCAAAAGTATTAAAGTTCTCATCTGACTACATTTCCAGTGTTCACATTTCTGTTTATTCAGACATAAAGGAATGCACATATTAGAGGGGAATATTGTATCTCCACTGCTAATTCCTTTGAGGTAGAAAATTTTCTAAGTATATTACTAACCCTTCTTTTTGTCTATTTGCTCTGGGAAGTGGAGTGATGGGTAAATCTGGGAAGGCTCAGTCCTGCCCTTCTTTCTCTTGGGAATGAGCTGCCTGCAGGGAGAAAAACACCTCTTCGACTTTCCCAGGAGCAGATTCTCCCCTCCCTTTAGAAAAAGGGCTGTCCTGGTTTAGTGTTGCCTACATCTAGATGTATTCTGTAATTCTGGAGGCTTTGTGAGCAGGCCCATTTGGCTCTCATATTAAACTATATTCTCCAACTTGCCTTTTATAAAGGTTTTTTTTTTTGATTACTATCCAAAGTTAAATCTCCTCTGTCACCATATATTTGACCCCCTTTACCCTTTACTACCACAATGTAACAGACAGATGACATATTATAGAATTGTACACATGAAACCTATATAATTTTATTAACCAATGTCACCCCAATACATTTAATAAAAAATGAAGGTGGTATCTTTGACCTTCACATTCTTTGTTTTATTTTTTAGTTTGTTTAGAGCATAGTGGGGAGAGGGAAGTCGTTTTGTTTCACTTACTCCTCCTATCTAAAGTTGGTATCCTTCCTGAATTCTCTATCATCACAAAGCTTTGAGCCTATAGTAAACAAAGCTGAAAATCCAACAAAGTCCACCAAGAGCTTTCTGAATCTTTAATCAAGCTCCTATGTTTTTCTCCAATCAAAGGAATTAAGGCTACTTCTTTGCAATTTCAGAAAGTTTTTTCTTTTTTTTTTAAAATATATTTTATTGATTTTTTACAGAGAGGAAGGGAGAGAGATAGATAGTTAGAAACATCGATGGGAGAGAAACATCGATCAGCTGCCTCCTGCACATCTCCCACTGGGGATGTGCCTGCAACCCAGGTACATGCCCTTGACCGGAATCGAACCTGGGACCTTTCAGTCCACAGGCCGACCCTCTATCCACTGAGCCAAACCGGTTTTGGCAGAAAGTTTTTTCTTTAAAGAACACCTTAGGCTATTAGGTTATCATTTGGATCTTTCTAAACTTACTATTGAACCTGATGTTGCACACTGAGGAAGAAAGCTTGAATCCTTTTACTGGGAAAAGGCTGACAAACTCTTCTATGTAAGAATATAGGTAGATCTTCAAAGTTCATTTGATATGTAATCTACTCCTGAAGAAATAAACTTTTAGACAATCTTTTCTACTAGGCAGGTAAAAACTTATTCTGCACACATGACATTTCTGAGTACACTTACCTCTGCTGTGTACTTGGCAGAATTCCCCACGATGACAATGACCTTTCCTTTGAAGCTTTGGAGCATAGCGGTGTGAGGGCCCTGGGTAAGTTCCCCTTCCGCGGTGAATGCAGTGCTGAATGGAATGTTGATGCTGCCTGAAATGTGACCCCGAATAAAACTGAGAAGGGAAGTTTAAGGAAAACACTTATTTGTGTGCAGACTTGAGAGAGAGAGAGAGAGAGAGAGAGAGAGAGGTAATTGATTCCCAGAAGATAGTACCATAAAAATCAAACACAGAGACCAGACTTGAAAATTCCTGGAGTGGACAAAACCGGTTTAGTCATACGAGTAAAGTTTAATTTAGCTTAATTTCCAAGACAAGCGAGGCTGACTTGACCTGGTTCACATCTTGCCTATGCCTCTGAAAATCATAAGTGAAACTCAATTTGTTCCCCCAAATTGATAGGAAGTAACTGCTAACCAATTCCCTTTCATTTAAGAAAATTCGAATACTGTGACCAATAAACAGTCATTGCCTCCACACTGTATAAGCTGCATTATGACACTGCCTCTGAGCCTTATTTGATGTTTTGGTTTGAGTGTTCTTGGTTTGCAAATTGTCTCTTTGGTGTGTGCACAATAAACTGTTACTAATTACTACTTTGGTGATTCATTGGCTTTATTTATGAATTTTTGACAGTTCTAAACATCTTCCATGCTCATATGAGTACTTTATCTAAATGAAATAAGGCATCTCTAAGGGAAAAAAAAGTTAAATGTGAAAATGTAATGGAAAAGGAAAGGAAGATGACTGGCCAAAGATGTAAAGAATTTCCTGACTAAATGAAGCATTGTGAAAGTGGTCCGGATGCAGCAAATCAATGGCAATTGCATGGGCCACATAATAATCATGCCTTTAAGTTCATTACTACTACTATGATTACTCCTAAGCTCTGAAAGTAATATAGCCAAGCAGACATTCCTAGATATAATTTGATACTGCAAAAGTCTATCTCCTTTGGGTAAGCGATTGCTAAATGGGACTCTATTTAGAATTGTTAAGGTCAACAGCACTGGTTGGAAACAGTTCTGTTGTTGGTTTATTTCTCAAGTAAATTTAGCCGACATTACCACTCTTCAATTTTATGGTCTCTAAAGGGACTGATGCTTATTATATTTGCACTTTGGCAGGGTTCTGATGGTTTCATTGACTATAAATTTTATTTTTGGAATGAAAAGCGTCTATTAGCTTAAAATATTTAGAAATACCTTAAGATCTTAAAGAAAAATATATGCCCTCCTCAGTAAGTAAAAAGTACAATTAAAAAAGTACAACTAAAAGATGATTATTTATATAGAGTCTATAGAGAAAGACATTCTTAAATATTATTATCTGTTGAATAACTATTCACATAAATAAAACAACTGTAAAAACAGGTCTAAAGGAGATATATATGATGCTTTGGTAGAATATGTCCATTTGGAGAGGACAGGGTAAGTTTTCACTGAGAAAGTAAGTGATGGCTGAGTTAAAATTTGAAGAATTAATAAAAGTTATTTAGGTAAAGAAATGGAATGGAGACAGAAGAAATTTGAGGCTCTTATTCTCAAGAAAGATGGTGCACACTGACCACATACTTTACATTAAAAATATTTTAGTCAGCTGCTTCTTCCTCATTTTTCCTTTAAAGAACATTTGGCATTAATAAAGACCTATTAAAAAGTTCTGAAAATGAAAGATAGAACATTAGTATCTCATTGTTTAGAGTCTTCTAGAAAGGACAAAGAATTCATGATCATTGGCAGATCTTCCTTGGTTTTTATCAGTACTACTCTCTCAAACATTTACAATTATCCAATGTTCTCAATTTCAGTTTTCATGACCAGTAATAACTTTTTTCTCAGCATGTCATTAGTCTGATAGCACTTTTATTGTCAGTAAGAACATACCTTAAAATGAAAATTTTTGATAACACAAAGAACCTAATGACTCAAATATTATTTGCAAATGTATATACATCTACCAAACTGAATCAGTTGCTAGATATTTATCAAAAAGCCTTTAGCCCTTATCAACCATGAACACTTTTTTTTTTAAAAGTGTTTTTATAGTAGCAAAAGCAATACAAACCTATCTTGGTCAAATACTATAGCAGACATGTTTGAGTTGCCTGCCCACCCCCCATTCTCTTGCTGAAAGGGCCTCAACTACTGACACTGATGAAAGGGTGAGCCCTCAGCTGTCATGTTTGTATCAGATGATCCTCCCACAATCATAACTGACAGCATAGTAGGGAGAGAGAAGTGAAGAGTTATCTGATGCAGGCTGAGCCAATCAGGTTCTCTCCTTTGAAAATCAGAAATAAAGATAAAATACAATGCTCAGACTATACTAAGCTTTATAAGCTAATGTCACATTTGAGTGTCTTCTATACACAATTTGTTCAGCAACATTTTAGAAAATTGGTGACTATGGAATAATCTACTTATACAAAAACCCTGGATGTAACATCACATCCCAAAGCTCGACCAACCGGAAGGAAGTCAGTCCTGCAGGGGTCGTCTTGGAAACGGCTTCACCCTCCCCGAGCTGTTTCCTGGAGGGCGAGGTTTCAGGCAGAAACCCACTCTCAGGGCGAGGTTTCAGGCAGGAACCCACTCTCAGGGTGAGGTTTCAGGCAGGAACCCGCCCTCAGAGCAGAGCGTGGAAGTACTGAGTCCTGGGTTGCCTTGCCAAGGGCTGCGCCCTCCCTGAGCTGTTTCCCGCGAGGCCTGAGGGAAGAACCCACCCTCGGAGCGCCAGGAGTGCCCAGCAGCAGTCAGTTCTGGGTTGCTGAGGTGGAGACCACAGCATGGTAGAACTCTGGGTCTGGCCCAATAGGGGGCGTGGCCGGCCTTCAAACCAGACCCTGACAAGAGGGAGGAGGCAGCCCCATTCCTCACAGAATCTGCTGTTGGATAGCTTGCTGTCAGTGGCCTACCAGCCAGGAACCCCATTCACCTGCACCCCAGACACTGACAGGAGGGAGGCGGGAGTCCTATTCCTCATGTAATCGACAGATGGCCAGCTTGCTGTCAGGGGCCTGGCAGCTAGGAATCCTATTCACCTGCATATCTGTATAAAGTTTTAATACATTATATTAGAGGTCGTGGTGGTACTGTTTTACCCACAGTGTCTACAGGAATTGCTACAAATTTACTTCTCAGTGGAAGCACCTTTCATTCCCAATATAAATTACCCATTCCGTTAAATGAAATTTCCATTTCTAGACTCAATATAAAGAGTGAAGTTGCTAAAACTATTAAAAAGGTCCAACTTCTCATTATTGATGAATGCACCATGGCATCCAGTCATACTATGAATGCCATAGACAGATTACTAAGAGAAATTATGAGTCTGAATGTTGTATTTGGTGGGAAAGTTATCCTTCTTGGAGGGGATTTTCAACAATGTCTCAGTATTGTACCACATGCTATGTGATAGGCCATAGTACAAACGAGTTTAAAGTACTGCAATGTTTGGGGATGTTTCAGAAAGTTGTCTCTTACAACAAATATGAGATCAGAGGATTCTGCTTATAGTGGATGGTTAGTAAAACTTGGAGATGGCAAACTTGATAAGTTTTCATTTAGGAATGGATATTACTGAAATCCCCTGTGAAATGATTTGTAATGGATCTATTATTGAAGCTACCTTTGGAAGTACTATATCTATAAATAATATTAAAAATATATCTAAATGTGCAATTCTTTGTCCAAAAAAATGAGCATGTTCAAAAATTAAATGAAGAAATTTTGGATATACTTGATGGAGATTTTTACACATATTTGAGTGATGATTCCATTGATTCCACAGATGATGTTGAAAAGGAAAATTTTCCCATAGAATTTCTTAATAGTATTACTCCTTCAGGAATGCCGTGTCATAAATTAAAATTGAAAGTGGGTGCAATCATCATGCTATTGAGAAATCTCAATAGTAAATGGAGTCTTTGTAATGGTACCAGATTTATTATCAAAAGATTACGACCTAACATTATCGAAGCTGAAGTATTAACAAGATCTGCAGAGGGAGAGGCTGTTCTGATTCCAAGAATTAATTTGTCCCCATCTGACACTGGCCTCCCATTTAAATTGATTCGATGACGGTTTCCGGTGATGCCAGCATTTGTGATGACTATTAATAAATCACAAGGACAAACTCTAGACAGAGTAGGCATATTCCTACCTAAACCCGTTTTCGCACATGGTCAGTTATATGTTGCTTTCTCTCGAGTTTGAAGAGCATGTGAAGTTACAGTTAAAGTTCTAAGTACTTCATCACAAGGGAAATTAGTCAAGCACTCTGAAAGTGTTTTCACTCTTAATGTGGTGTACAGAGAGATATTAGAATAAGTTGAATCACTTTATCAGTCATTGCATCACTGTTGTTTTCATATCATGTTTTTGTTGTTTTCATATCATGTTTTTGTCATTTTTTATCATGCCTTTGTTGTTGTTATATCCTTTTGTTACTGTTTATTTATTAATAAATTTATATATTATTTTCATATACATTTTACTAATTTCCTTTCATCTCCCACACTTCTATTATAGAGAAAGGGCAAATAGCAATATTAAAATATCTCCGGTAATTAATTCCCTTTTAATGTGCACGAATTTCATGCACCGGGCTACTAGTAGTAGCTATAAAAACATCTGGTTATTATAGCAGTCATCTGGTCAGGTGTTTTAGAATAGAGCTGTTTACTACTCTGATAGCACTCTGTGATCGGCAAACATTTTTCTCTGGTAACTGGTGACTTTATCCTGTTGTAGTAAGCTGTTTCCTTCCCCCAAAACATACCACTCTGCTCAACATTCCATTTGGCAGACATTACCAAAGCATTCAAGAGTGTGCTTATAACAAAGATGCATTTTCACATTAAACAAAATTTGGTAACCCAATATACAACGAAACCAGAAAAAGTAATTAGATTTTTTTACAACTAATTATTAGAACAGTATTAACAGGTAAGGATGATGGGCACTGTTTTCTCAGTTTCTGAAACATGAAGATTTTTCTGTATTCCTAAGTCAGTCTCCAAAACAATACTGCCAATACATGCACTATACTTTAATCAAGCAGATAGAATAAATAGCAGTTTTAAAAATAATACAGGTATATTGTTTATAGAATGGCTAATAAAGAATTTACCAGAAAGTTCCTTTACTTTACAAAAATATTTTAAGATTCCTTTAACATATTTGATGGCTCAAAATTGAACACAGAAAGCATCTTATGTTTTTCTAAATCCTAAAAGAACACAGCATTTTTGTTGCGTACCACACTTAGTGACATTATATCTCTCTATCCAGAGCATACCAGCATTTCACCAGACCACTTATGAAGGTATCACACCTTTATATTAACTTGTTTGTTGCCATGTTAACTAATTATAATTAGTTAAACAGAGCCAGCCCGAAGTAAAGGCTACACCTTTAGAATATCAATAGATACAAGGGAATATGGAATTAAACCCATGCCTTTCTCATATATAATGTAACTAAACAGCATTAATTGATGTAAAAGTTACATCTTTAGATAGCATCATTTTTCCTTGCTAAATCTATTGCTGCTTTCTTTGAATGCCATCACCGTCTCCCATATCAGTCTAAAACTTCATTTTTGACATCTTGCCAGTGGCAACATCTAACATCCTGTTGCACTAATAAATCCCATCCTCCTGTCTCTCTATTCCCATTACCACTTACTTGCCTATTTCAGACACTCATTATCTTGAGCTTAGACTATTACATCAGATTTCTGTTTTTCCCCCAACTCTCATTTTGCCACTTGGAAATCCGTTTTATTGGATTAAAAATTAAAAAACAAAGTTCTGATGATCACCCCTGTTGAACAACCTTCCCTGGAGACCTAAAAAACAAAGCTCAGATTTCTCAGTTCAGCCCTCATGAATAGGACCTAACTACTTCAGTTCCCACCAAACTGAATCACATACTGTTTCCAGTATATGTCTGACCAAGCTCCTATAGTTTTCTCTTCCTAAATGCCTTTTTCCTTATTTCTGAGTGTTCAAATATTAATCATTCTTTAGGATTCCTTCATGAAAGTTTCTCTACCCACAGTGTCTATATACCTCTCATGACATTATTTAGATCTTGTCTAAAACATACTAATGTACATGGCTTCCATCAAGACTTAAAACAATTTATAGGATCTATTTTTATCACATCTATGAAACTCTTACAATGCTGAATATAGTGCCTAGAACATACTAGTATCTTACATATCTACTGAGTAACTAAGTTTCAGAATTGTGCCAAACCTAGAATGTGTCAGTGGCAAATATGTTAAATGCCTCCGGTCCCTCCTAGCTATTGGCACCACTACCTATCAATACTTGAAGTGCCATGATAAATAATTCTCCTTTGTCAATACACAGGATAAGAAAGGGAAAGAAACAGCAACAAAAATTATCTCTCTGGATTTTCTCCAGCATAGGTACTAACCCAAAGGGCCCAATACAATTGGTTTATTTTAGGGTACATCTAGAATCCTCACTCTTTGTGCTGTGAATATGAAGGGATGTTTATGTACATCCAATCTCTGGGCGATTCCATTCTTCTAGTTTTGCCTGGACAGGACCTCCTCTCTCATCCTTCCTCCACTTACCTGGTCAAATTCTTTAATACTTTCTTATAGCCTTTGGAATACAATCCAAACTTTTTATGCAACATTCTCCAGGAAGCTGCCTTTGCCTACTCTGGTCGCATTTCCCATCCTCATATATTCCAACCACGCACATCCAGAGTACTTGTAATTCACTGAATGTGTCCTTCTCACACCCTGTGCACCCAGACAGTATGTGTTTTTAGTCTGAAATGTCCTCTCTCTTCACCAATGGGAAGACCTACCTCAGGCACCATCTGGCTTAGGTGATCATCCTTATATTCCCATGGCCTTCTGGGTATGCCTCAGACATAGACATTTCAGGCTGTATTATAATTATCTATTTAATGTGTCTGTCTTAGTCACAAGACTGTGAGTTCCTAGTGGACCGGGGTTCTCCATTGCTGGGCAAAGTAGTCCTCAAACAGGATTAACTGGCTGAGTAAATGAGACTGCATGGCACTCAGGACTTGGGTCTCGGAGCAAACAGGAGCTCATCAACAATAAATGGACCTCTCACAATTAATGATTAATCCAGATAGAGGAGACATTCCTCAGGAGTGGCTACCACGTACCCCCACATACACCAGATCCATTCAGATAAGGGTAGTCTGAACCTCCACCCAAATGGGATGAAAAAAAAATCTCACAAAACCTCATTATCACCTACCCTGCTCTGCACACAAGTATCTCTTAATTGTTGTGAAGAAATTTAAAAAACTTAATTATTTAGGGCACAGAGGCAAGAATAATGCTAACATGCCTAAGAATAAAAAACATGGTATAATAATGAAAGCAACTAAGTTTATGTGTTTTTCAAATTAAAAAATGTAAAACTGAACTTGTCTTCCCTTCGCTTTCAATATTTAAAAAAAGGTAAAAAGTTTACAAATAAAACTGCAAAAACAGCCTTGACATCAAGCAAATGAGAATAACATCCCTTCAAAGTACTTCTGTTTACAGATACCACCAGTTGGACCACGTCTGTTTACGTGACTAACACGACTCTTAATATGAACTCCAAGAATTTTGTAACTCAAACTATTTACAACTATTGAAGAAAACAAATTTGGCTAGTGTATTATCTTTGATGCTAGTAACATTACTTATGGAATGTATGCCACTACATGACAAACATTTTCTATTGCCTCTTTAAAATCTGAAATTACATAATTTTTTTTTCTGAAATCCCAATAATGTATTGGAGAACAGACATAACGGACTTTACTGTTATCTAAATTGACATTTTATATTTTTTCCTTATAAAAACAAAAATAAAATATGATTTCCACAAAAATTTCGCTGTTTAGCCTCCTTGTTATAAGCTGTTCAGCTCTCATATTAAGGACTTACACCAGATAATCTGTAGGGTTGATTCTTATTCTACATTTGGGATTATGCCTTTATTGTCAGGTGGGTGAAGCCATCTCCATGTCCTCTAGCCTTCCTTTTCTGAACTCCCCACCCTCACTCGCTCCCACCAAGTTTAGTGGCAGTTTCCTTAGATTGTTAATTCACTTCTCCTCACCTACAATCATAAAACAGGTAACAGATTAAAATATTTCCTCTTGCAGGATATTTGTAAGTTAATTGAGAATATTTAAAATACAAGGTAAATGCCTGAAGCTTTAACAGACTTTCAGTTGAGGAGGTTCAGGACAAGCTACTCTCAAAGATAGCATCTTGGCCTATGGAATTTTTTAAACTGAAGAAATTTGAGAAACAACATGTGCAGAAAGGACTTTCTGTCTTTCCCCGAATCAGGTTATAAAACCTGCACTGAGAAATGCCCTCCCTATCCCAGAGAAAATCTCACAAGAGTTCTATTTGCATAAATTATTTTAATTACTTTAATAATAGCCTTTAAAATGAAAATAAGGTACTACACTATGATGCTATGTTGTTTGATAATTTTATAAAAAACATAAGCTAAAAAACTGAAGGTATTTTAAGCCTTTGAAGTAACAAATAAGAACTTATAGACCAGGGGTCCCTGACCAGTCAAATGGAAATTAATGCTTGTTTGGGAGTCAGTGCACTCTTCCAGTATCCCCGAAGCCTGAACAATCAGGGACATGAACATTTATACTCTCACCATATTCAGGGACCTCACAGTTTAGGGAAAATAGAAAGTAGTAACTTTTCACAAAGAGGTAGGGATATATCATTTGATTTAGTGGCCTCTCAAATTGTATTTTCAGTAATCAAAGACTCTACGAATTGCTTCAGAAGTTCTGCAAATGTATGGTTTTAATTTCATTTTAAAACTGTGATTAAAAATATGCACATGAAAATTTATATGGCAATTTTAGCATATGAGAAAATCCACTAACCTGCTAACTCTCACATATTATCCTCATTTATAGTTAGGAAATGCTATGAATGTTAACTTATGAAGAATCCTACATAATAAAAGCCTAATATGCTAAGTGTGTGGTCATCCGTTCAACCAATCAAAGCGTAATATGTTAATGATATGCTAAGGCTGCTCAACTGCTTGCTATGACTTGCACTGACCACTAGGGGGAAGACAGTTGACTGGTCGACAAGTTGCTATGACGTGCACTGACCATCAGGGGCAGACGCTCCAACCGGTAGGTTAGCTTGCTGCTGGGGTCCTGACGATAGGGACTAAGTGAGACGGCTGGACATGCCCTGGAGCCCTCACGATCCCTCCCTGGCTGGCCAACCTCCTGCATCCCTCCCAAGCCCTGATCATGCACCGAGCCTCTAGTATTAATTATAAAAGTCTTCATTTATATTTTATATATTGAGTTTCAAAGAAAAACTTTATTTTAAAAGGGAGTTGCTCTGTTCAAAAACAAATTTGAAAATCTAATAGATGATGAAAAAATTAGGATAAAGATTGAACTGTTACTATTTTGTACTCATTTATACTTTAATGCCAAGCAAAATTACCAGAAATTATGGTACATTTAATGTCAGTGAAAAATATGTTCTCTATAAGTCAATATTTTGAAGATTATAATAAATTTAATGATGAGCTCTGGCAAACCCTCTCTAGCCTACGAGTTAGACCAGGTAAATACTTCTCATCTTTGCTGAAATTTTAGCCAGCGTAGGAAGGATTCAAATCCCCCAAGAACAATACACACTAGAGAAACACAAAAACTAATAAAATATCCCAACATTCTGGTTTTGTTTGGAAAGCATTTTCGGGCCTCTGGTATGTAATATTATCTTATAAAACATTATGCAACTCTACTATGGCATCCGGCTTGAGAGTTACTTAGCTATTTGAATTCAGAGGAATCCCAGATATGTTCATTGTTTTTACCACATGCCCTGTAAATGTAAAAGAATCAATATGAATAAGGCAGGACCACCCTCCAAAACCGCATGTACAAAGGATACTCTTCACTATTCCGGATGTCAACCACCAGGAGCTTCGGTTTACTGGACTTGGTCTTCTTGGTGGGTGTTTTGAAGTGGCCTGTCACTGTGAGCTCACACAAGTCAATCAGGTCCTCTGCTGAAATCCGGGGAGAAACTTCTGACTTTAGGTCATTTAATGGGATGGATTCTCTTGACTAAAAGAAACATACAAATAACACAAATATTGAGAATATTATAGAGACAAAGTGTAGCCAGTAAGAATATCTTCAGGCTCTTGATATCAATCACTATAAGCACACAGGAGAACAAGAAACAATCTCCCAGTCTACTGTGTAACCATTAAAAAAGTAATGTCTGCATTTTTAATCACTACACCAAACTTCTTGTAAAATCAACAATCTTTCTATCCATTAAAAAACTAGAAAATATAATAAAATAAAACATCTCAATAATAACAGCAATAGAAAGGCTCAAATATGAATAAATACCAACAAGAAACATAAAAGAAAGCTATAAAATAAACAATATGTTTAATTTCCCTACTTATACATACATTTAATTCAAACACAACATATATACCAAAATGATTTCTCTCCAGGAGAGTAAGAAAAGACATTCTATAATTCATGTAAAAACATAGTGCCAAATGTATAATCTTATTCTAATAGCCTCATAGTACTAGAAAGGAAATGAAATGAAATGAATATAAATGAAAAAAGAATTCAGAAATGAATATAAATACATGTGGGAATCTAATTTATCATAAGGGGTATTTGGATTTAATGGGAACCATTTAGTTTATTAAAGAAAATGAACATATTAATCTTAAACTAATTCAAATATCTATTTGATAAGTATAAAGCTTAAAATCTATCAATTAAGTCAAGTCTGTAGGACTCTATTTGACTCCTGTTTGCTCAGTGTTTGCTTTAATTAATTTCTGTAGGACTTCTGAACAATAAACTATAATTCATACTGATGTATTTTGGAGTAATTCCAGTTTAGCAAGGTTTTTTTTTAAATTAGTAATAACTTTTCTTTTTTTTAGCAAGGTTTTTCATTTGCCCTTTTTGACTTTGGGGGAAAGGAAAAAAGAAATAACCTCTAGCAATGATTCTCTGGAAGACGTGAGATTGTTGCAGATAAAAGCTATCTTTTTTTTTCATGATATACCTTTATTTGTTAAATCCTGTGTTGGCACCTGTACAAATCAGGTTAACAAAATGAATTTTTAGTAGCAGGTTTATTTCTCATATAACATGGCTTGTTTATTTAGTTTGCATATGTTATAGCATATCCTGGGAGAAGGGCTGGAATAAACAGGACATTTATACCCTGGGATTGTAAAAGTCATTGCCATGACTCCTGAATATAACAACTATGTCTGTTGTCGCTAGCCTTTCTGCAGAATTGTGCCAGAATCCATTTCTTTCTAAATGCTATGGAATGTCATTGACACATGAAAGGACAGCCTTGTACTTTGAGGCTGCATAAGGCAGATCACAGTGCAAGACCCAGATATACATTAGAAGTTGAAATTATCCTATCTGTGCCCATGGCTCTTCATGAAGAAAATATATTTTATAAACTTACTGTGGAAAAACATTGCTACAGAAGCTATCTCAAATCAATAATGAATTAAATCAGCTGCAAAGGAATAAAAAAACTGTCACAACATAACCTTCCTAGAAACTGCTATGTGGATATGCTAATGCTGATTCAAAGCATCCTCTGATGTCTGTAGGAAGTGTGAGCTGCCCTCTTAGATCAGTTCAGCTACTAGCTTGGGCCAATCCTAAATAGGATATTCTACCAAATACGACAGTTGTTATTTTAACCAAAGATGATAATAATATTTATTTTCTTTTGTGTTTCCCATCAAGAACTTCACCCCCAACATCCTCCTACCAAAAACTTCTAAACATTTCTCTTTTCTTCCCAGGATACCCACCTCCCCTGCAAAAAATCATCAATACAACACTCTAGAAATCTAGTGCTCGTTTAGTCACAATTCAATTTTTGTCCGGCTCTGGGCATTTTTATCTTCTCATTTCACTTGCTATTTATAGGGCACTGCTCCATTCAGAACAGACTTGTGCACAACTGAAATGTCCACATTCAGAAAAGTGGCACTTAGTAATTTGATGAGTAGGATGAGAAGACCCAGAGATTTCTACAATTCAGAGGAAGAAACATTTTTAATATGCAACTATGAAATACGATTTTCCAAGGTAACTACACAAAAAAAGGATAATAGTGAATGTTTAAAAATATAGTGACATGTATTTAATTTCAAGCATCGTACTGCTGCAGCTAAACAATTAGATTTTTAAATGTGAAAAGCATGAAAGGACACTAGGAAAAGTAAGGATAAAAATGCATCACAATTTAGTCTCTTTACCTAGAAGTAAAGAATGACCCTTGAGTTATTTCAGTAATTGTATTTATTTTTAACTGTTTCATTCTACAAAGGATTTGAGATTTTGGTCCAGTTTACCCATTCAAACAATCTAAAACATGTTTTTATCCCTTCCTGATATAATATTTCCACCTGCCAAATAGTTTTCTGGTATGTTGAATTACATTACACCCCAAATTGGGAACTTACATACTGTGGAAAAGGCAGTTTATATAAAATGGTAACAACTTTGCTAACTCTGGACTTGGCAGCCTCTCTTTTAAATGACATTTGGAACTGGAGAATGAACATCATGGTGATCATGGGGACAAGGCTGGGCATTGATGATTTTCTTCCCATTCGTCTGAACTGAAGATCTGTTCCCAACCACCTTTCTTTAAGTACCCTCAATTAGCAAGACACTGTGAAGAGATGCAGTCCACAATTCCATACTACTATGAAAGGAAGACCTCTCTATAACTGTAAAGGCCTTAACAAATTAAATTACCAAGTGCTTCAGTAGGTGCTTAATATTTGCTGAATGAATAAAACTTAGTCAAAATTCTTTTAAAATGATGAGGAAAAAAGGAAAAGAAAAATTAAAGACTTAAAAAAAATCATTATCCTTCTCCTGCTTTTCCTTAATCCCCAGCAATATTTATCTCACGTCTTTACATTTCTTCTCTGGAGGCAAAATTGTTCATATTAAGTTTTCAGGAGGGAGAACAGTTTGTCACTTTTAATTACTGATGCTTTCCATGTTATATGACAACTGTGTTTATACTCATATGTACACATATATTAACACCCTGCACTTATTACTAAGATCACTATATTCATTCTGACTTGATTTAATAGGGTTATCTTTTACTGATTTCAAGAGAGAAATCATAAAGTGTAGTGCAGTAGGAAACAAGTTGTTTTTTTTAATAATATATTTTATTGTTTTTTTACAGAGAGGAAGGGAGAGGAATAGAGAGTTAGAAACATCGATGAGAGAGAAACATCAATCAGCTGCCTCCTGCACACCCCCTATTGGGGATGTGCCTGCAACCAAGGTACATGCCCTTGACCGGAATCAAACCCGGGACCCTTCGGTCCGCAGGCCGACGCTCTATCCACTGAGCCAAACCAGCTAGGGCGGAAACAAGTTTTTTGAGTACTGGATGAATTTCACATTCTAATTTCTTTCTACATGAATAGCTTTTGAAATACAATGTTGTAGGTCAGTTCATCTGATTGCAGAACAAGAAGGGGTGGGGAAGCCAGGAAGAGAGAGATTTAGAAGAGGGCTTGTCCTCGGTAGTAAAAACAAAAAGAGAGGGTCAGAGAGTGAGCAGGCTGCAATTGCAGAGTTGTGAAACAGGTGGTGGTTTCGGTTCAAGAAAGGAGAGTTAACTTGCCAAAAAAGGTTATATATAAATACTATAAAACAAGTAGATTAGTATACAAATATGCAAAGAATAAATACAAAAATAACAATTAACCATAAATATGAATATCTTATCATTGAGTCTTCTCCAATGAATAAACATTTCTATTTAGCTGTAAAGCCATGAGAAAATGTGTGCACATATGTTATGAATTGTGCCAGGACCTTAGCAAAAACAGAGAATCCATGAGTCAACCCTCAGAGATTGATTTAGTAGATATGGGATGTTTGTGGAGACTCAAATATGCAAGTATTACAGAACATTTTGAAGACCATCTTTCAGATACATTGTCTTATGGAAACAGAGCTAGAAGAGGCCAAGGAGGATTCTCACCCCCAGCCATCAGAGAATGTGTGGCTCTGCCAACACCTTGATTTTGAACTTTTAGCCTCCACAAGTATGAGGCAATGAAACTACTGTGGTTTTAAGGGGGGGGGGGGGAAGGTTACAATGTTATGCTAGTTGAAGTCTGAAGAACGGATTAGGGAGGAACAAGAAAGGATGCAGGAAACTGTTGTAGGAAAGACAGCAGGTAAGAGATGATGGTGAACTTGACTAAAATGATGGCATCAGAGTTAGTGGGAAATAGAGATTTATGAAAAGGGCTTTCTGATTGATTAAACATGGAAGGAGAAGCAGGAGTCAAGGATGAATTTAGAGACTGACTTGAATAAGTTGGGAAGTGATAATGGTGATTATTCATATAGGAAATTCTGAAGGAACAATGGCTTTAGGGGGAAAAGAAAATAAATTCCATTTTGGACATGTTAATTAGAGGCTGCTTGTGTTGAGTAGGCATTGGCTATATGGGTCTCCTAGAGCTAACAGGAGAAGCTACAACTGCAGCTAATAAGAGGCTCATGGCAAATGTAAGATGCGAGTCTATAGGACTGTCTAATATCTGTCTTGTGGGAGAACAGGAGGCCTGCACAGAACCTTGAGGATTACTACATATAATGATATGGAAACAGATGAAGACAGTGAAAAACATTGAGTGAAGGTAACAGAGAAGAAAGAGGAAAAGAAGATCAGGAAAAGTCATGTTTGTAAAAGAGAGAACAGTTAACTGTTCTGAAGGTTCCTAAGAGACCAAATGGGAGCACACAGTTGAAAAGAATAATTTGTGACTTTCGTCAGGGGAATGGAGAAGGTCAAATAAAAAGTGAAGTGAGCATAAGAAGAAGGTATTTTTGCCCTGGTCAGTGTGGCTTGGGCACACTGATTAGAGTGTCAGTCCATGCACAGAAAGGTCGCGGGTTCAATCCCTGGTCAAGGCACATACCTGGGTTGCAGGTTTGGTTCTGGTCCCAGTCAGGATGTGTGCAGGAGACAACAAATCTCTCTCTCTCTCTCTCTCTCTCTC